CATTAAACCCATAATGAACTGATTATTACCAGACCACAAAAATATAATTAAAAGAGTTCCGCATTCCTACAACACCACTGAATAATACAGTATTTAAACAGTTGAGCAACAAAAACTAGCTTATTAGTTCACCACTGTAATATTTTCCTCAGATAAGTATAGTAATTTTTGTGAAACCACAGCTATGTATTGTAAAAATWCAATCAATAGGTTATTTTCATTGTTTCAAACTGATATTGTGCTTTTAACTGTCATTAAAAGAAATCTTACAAACCTTTTGATTTCCTTGCATCTATAGTTAATTCCTTTGTTTATTTGATTYTGTCTCCGTAGCTTTAATTATTTTCTGTTATTATTTGCAGCATTTCCGGGAGCACCTGGACAAGCTGTTTGCTCAAGGCATTGGCATGTTGGACGTAGCTCTGACTGAGGCGTTCAATCTTCTCAGTGATGTAAGCCGCTCCTCCTCACGCCCACTCACACACGTTGGTTTTATGCTGAAAATTAATTAAAAATAAAATGAATAGCTCAGTCCACAGAATCAGCTGAAAACCAAGTAAACAAGACCCTTGATGAGTCATGYTGTTGGTCTGACATCTCATTATGAACAGGCAGTTAATTAAATCAATGTTTGTACAAATACAGACATGCAGCTATTATCCCAGTCTAAATACAGTATACATTGTATTGTACCAACAATACAAAACTCTTCTGCGACGATTAATGAAAAGTAACAACCGCTGTACGCTCTTTTACATTCTTTAAGCGTTCCCACTGTCAATATTCTTTCACCTTGCATGCACAGCAGTTTATACATTATTACCATTGCTGCACTGCTGATTCAAATAAGGCACTGCGAGCACCATGAACTTGCTGAAATGTTCAATAGATGATTGAAAACATTGATTTTTAAAATGAATGATCTTTTCATWGTTTTTCTTTGTTCAAAGTGAGAAACTCTGTCATGTTTTTCTTCTTCTTCTTCCAGTTCAACAAGACGGGGAGGGGCAGTGAGTGYAGCCAGGCCATCATGTTGGTGACCGATGGAGCGGTCGATACGTATGATGCCATCTTTGCCAAGTACAACTGGCCGGAGCGGAAGGTAATGTAGAGATGATAACTTATGAAGCAAATGTGTTCCTGCAGGACTGCCTCATTCCAGTTTCATATTAACCTTTTCTTTCAAAACTTCAAATGGAATTATTGAYGTAATTTTCTTTTCATAGTCATTTAACTGAAGAACAATGACTACATAACCTCTCTCTATGACTGTCTTTTAAAAACTGCCTTTTGGGATTCAGTTTGATGTATTTTCAAGGCGATAATAGCAGATCTATCAGAGTTTCACTAAGATCTTCACAGAAATTGTTAAAAGGCTGATGGTTTCAAAGACTAAATTAGCAATTTCTAATCGTGTTGGAAAAAGCAGTGTTTACTAAAAAAATAACACTGTTGCAAAGAATTGTTTATTGGTTCACTGTAAAATCCAATTAGTTAYCATTGCTTAAAAAGTATGTAAACTGATTGCACTTTAAAAAAACAAGTACACAACTAGAAATTGTACTCACTACTTCTTTTTTAGTAGATATGAGTTTAAGCCAGAAAGACAATCAAGTACTTGATCATTTACTTTAGGCGTACTTGATTTGTAAATACTACTCAGCTTTATTAGTTTAATTTACCTAATCATTGCATGTGAAATTTACTGTTTAGTCGGTTTAACATACTTTCCAAAGTTCAGCTCAATTAGTGCTTCTTTTTTTTTCAATTAGTACTTCTAAGTCATGTTTCCTTTTGCAATGCTACTGCTAAGAGACTACACATTGCAAAAATAATTAGTGGTAGCTGATCTGCTAATATCTATCACATTAGCATTCACCATATGTCAATATGGACAACACCCTTTAATTGCAATCAGGATTTGTCCATCCTGGTCATTTTCCCTCTATACATCTGTGACACTGACCTTTCACTCAATGGTGTCAGCTACAGTCAGTAACAAAAACTTCAACAAACATGTCAAATCCAACCTGATAGTGTAATGTCACAACATTACTGCACACAACTCAAAATTGTTCATGACTCACATATTAAAAAAGAGGCAGAGCTAGAACTCTGGCATCTTAGATGACAGGAGGAAGGAGCAGGAAGAGAAAAAAAAATACATTAAATTTGTGTTTATGCTAATTTTGTTCTTATATTTAAACATTTTTGACACTAAAAGATTGGACTAGTGCGTTCAGAGTAGTAGAAACTGACACTTCTTTGAATGTGCAGTGGTGTTGGTTACTTATTACTGCTAGTGAGCTTAACTCTAAATAAAGTAATGTGTTTTACACTTTTCACGATGCAAGGAACTGTTAATAAATACACTCAGAGGTACAAATTGTTGATAACCAAGGAACAGTAACTAATGTTTGTAAGTCATTGCATTTTGCAGTGTTCAATAGTGTTTAGAAAGGATTCAAGCACTCACACACATACAAGAGTGAGTAATGTCTTTCTTATGTTTTTAAAAAGTGGTTGGAAAAAAGTTATGAGAAGAAGTGAATAAAAAGCATACCTGGTATGAGGCCCTTTCAGAGTGGAGTGAGATGTGGTTGTCGCTAAGAACAAACCTGTTTCTCTGCTATCCTGCAGGATAATTGCAGAAAAACTCAAACAAAATATAAAATGCAAGAGGAGAAAAGAGCTAAAGTGGAGGAAAAAAAGCATTATTTTAAGACTGTTCTTTTGTTAGATAAGGGTCCATAGGGGTCTGTAGCATTTGAAAAGTCAGAGCTGCAGAATTGATGGAGTAATTTACACTCTAAAAGCTTGCTGTSTTGCCTTTTTTCATCGCTTTTTCTCATTCCTGACTCGTCTGGGTGGCTGAAAAATACTGACTGTGGCAAAGCAACATCTTTTTGTCAATAGATCAGAAATCTTTTAATTTTATTTTTTATTTTAAGAGCTGCTACGGTCACTCCTAAAGCACATATTGGTGAAATGCTGCATTGATGGTTGAGAGAAACGTAGAAAGCAATTAATATTTATCTCAATGTGATATTTTAGTTTCTTTTTTTGTGTGTGTGATAGCATTTCAAAAGTTTTATTTACTTCATGTTTTAGTTTTATGTGTTGAATCTATTGCCATAGCAGAGCTCTCAGATGAAAAAGCAGCACAGAAGAAGAAGTGATWATGTCTAAAACTTTTCTAAATGCACTGAAAAATACTTGTGACCTGAACAAGAAACATTCAATTTGAACTTGTATTGCCTCAGGTTAGGTCTTRTGCTTAAAATGCAAATGCAAACATAATGGGTGGTATATGATGAAGCARAGCTTTGGGATTAGGCAGTTCGTTGATGGAGTTTGAGAAGTTAATACAAGCATTTATAGTCAGTGTTAACCTTCAGTTTGTCTATACTSTATGTGTTTGCCTATTAATGTAGGTGTCATTTTCTATTAAAGTTGCATTTGGGATACATGTGTTTGGTATGTTCTGTATACAAACTGCTCACAGCCCCCCCACCCCTCCCACTGACTCTTGCTTCAAGGCTGAACAGCAGTGAGTGGAGAGAGGACAAGGCTGCTGGATAGTTCCATTTAGAAGAAACCCTGCTGATAATAGAAGTCTTCAGTCTTTGTCACTCTCTTCAGTCTGTCTCACTCACCCTCTCTTTCCCTCCACTGCTGCTTTTTAATGGCTTCCTTCCAGCCGGCGTTGCGTTTTCACCACTAGCGTCACACTGAGGAGACGACAAGGCTCAGGGAAAATGCAAATAAGATGCTAAACACCTCTTTAATGTATTCGTAAAAAATTATTGCCATGAAAACAACATTCCATCCATCAATTCCTCCACTTTATTCCACTTCTTCATAGTAAGATTAAAGAGGAGGAATTCCTTTTTACCAAGCAGTATTTTCCACCACCTGTTGGATAATCCTGAGGTGTTCCCAGGTTAGAAAGGACACAAAATCCCTCCAGCAAATTCTGGGTCTCCCCCAGTGGCTTCTCTTAGAGGAACAACCTAAGAGGTAGGCTGCAGGCAACATGCAAATGTGATGCCTGAACTACCTCAGCTGAGTTATTTTGATGCAGAGGAGCTCCTTGGCTCTGCTCCAAGTGATGAAGCTCATCACCGTAAACATAATCATCATCATCATCATCATCATCATCTTTAAGGTTGAGCCTGGCAGATATACTGAGAGTTCACTTCACAAAAACAGTTTGGATCTTATTTTTTTGTAGTCATGATCCAACATAATGTATAAAATTGATATGAGTACAGGAGCATATAAACCAATAAATCAGGTTCTTCCCCTTTTCTGGCTTAGCTCCATCTTCATAACAGAACAAAATAACACCTTAGTTTTTGTGGACTAAGTCCTGATTCACTGATGGTAAATGGACTGTACTTATATAGCACCTTTCTAGCCATCCAGGACACTCAAAGCGCTTCACACTACAGACAGTCACCCATGAACACAGTCATTCACAGACTGATGATGGCAAACTACTATTGCATCCACAGCTGCCCTGGGGCGCACTGACAGAGGCAAGGCTGCCATACACAGGCACCACCTGACCCTCTGACCACCATCAGTAGGCAAGGCGGGTAAGGTGTCTTGCCCAAGGACACAACGACTGAGTCGACTGGATGGGGATCGAACCGGCGACCTTCCGGTTCCAGGACGACTCCCCTGACCACTCTACCACAGCCATCCCATCCCACTTTTGTACAAAACTCCAAAACACTTGAGTGTCCCAGAAACACTATAAGACTCCCATCATATATGTGATGTTATAGCTAGGCACTACTTAAAATTTAATACTTAAATAACTGAAAAATTTACATCAAATATTTTTTTCTTTTAGCAGATACTATTAAAACATTATACAAATCACCTTTTGTTTGTTCTCAGTTTTCACAACATGATTAACAAACACAATAGCTATAAGACAAAATTCAACACTTGAACCTATGGATTACAGTTTTTTAAATACTTTAAATACATTGTTTTAGTCTTGTATTTGATTTGTTTAGAATACTACAAGGTCTAAGAATGAATAGTCAAGCAAATCATTCATAGTATGAAAACTTCAAGGCATAAACACATTAAAACACTGGGCCTCATGCAAGAACTGTTCGTACGCACAGATTTGTTCTTAAATTGTGCGTACGAGTGATTTAGGAGAATT